ATTCAGCCGCCTCTGGTGTTAGGGATGGTCGAACTCACGACCATTCATGTTCGCCCACCTAGTACTTCGACCAAGTCTTCCAAATGGCTGGGACCTGCAAGGTTTTCCTAAATTCGCGTAGGACCTTTGACCTTTGTCGATCAACACATACTCTGTTCGACTAAGCCAACTGGTCAGATTTATTCCTTTCTCACCAACCAGACCGGTTTAAGCTATAATATCCCGTATCAAATATTGATATTGATTTACGAGCTTCCCCAACATGCAACTGAACGAAATTATGAATTTCATGGAAGTTTTTATATCCCCAATTTAGAATTATATGGAGTTCCATTACAACTGGACATTCTCAACATGGAAAATTAATTACGTGATGCATGAGTAAGCACGATTACATATTATTTAGATATAAAACTTTAATGTAATATAATTTCCTATACAAATTTAATAAAAATGCTATATGAAATTTAACTTTTGCAAAAATACATAAAACATGTCATCCTAGAATATTAAAACCACTTAACTGCTATGTTATGTATAGGTATACCGTATACCTAAAATATTCTACAAATGACATGTGAAATCACCTAAAAAATTTTGTACTATTATTAGAAAAATATTTATAAAAATACCTAATTCTTTTATGTTATTGTATATATATATATATCGTGAAATACAACTTTCGATAAATTTATAAGTTAAATTGTGATAAATTTATAAATTAATTTGTTATACATTTATAAATGTAAGTTTCTCTACAACACATAATCTTTATAGGCATAAGAGAGGTATCATCTCATATAAACATAAGATAGATACTATTTGGTATTAAAATTCAAATCGCCTAACGTTCACGCTGCAGATAAAAATGCACGCGATCCTTCATAGGACGAACATATTCAAATTTATATGTATAATGCTGAAGATATGCATGAGATATTCATTTAATTGTCTAACGCTAACAATGTAGATAAAAACACATGCAATTCTTAATAGGCACAGGTATTAAAAATTAAAAATCTAAGATATTGTGTTATGAAGATAAATATTATACATATA